GATGATTGCTTTGTGTTATACCCCTCTAGAATAAAGTCAGTGTCTGCAACGGGTTGCTGTTTTGGATTTTAGGCACACCAACGTTGGTCAAATGAAAATTAAAGAGCCTTCTCTGGTTTGGGTGCTGTGAGGGAAGATTAGTGAAAACATCGTTGACTATTGGTCGATGAACAGAACTCTGTTCGCATCGTTCTACCTCTTTGAGAGTATCTCGGTGAGATTAGCCTTGTGTAAATGAGGAACGTGAGAATGACTGTAGTGTTCAAGACAGTGTGCGTGCTTTAACGCCTGGGTAAGATATGTCGGGGATAAGATATGACAAGGTTAAGGTATGACCCTAAGCCCATACCTTAACCCTCACATATCTTACCCTCGACATATTTGGTAATCAAACCTTGTCCTTGTATCTTAAACCTGACATGTCTTACCCTCGACATATCTGGTAATCAAACCTTGTCCTTGTATACTCGAAATGTTTCTTTTTCAACGGTGTGCTGCCTTGACATGTAATTATATATTTATAATAATATTAACATTACTACTGATTACGAAAAGCAAGTACCAATTATTCACCATTTTGATGAATCTTATAATTACCTAGAAAAGATCTGCTCCGCGTTTTGATTTCAATTAAAATACTTGTATAAATAAAAGATATATCAATGCAAATTAAAAAAAAGTACTTCTGGTCAGTTATTAACACGTCTTCAGACAACAACATGTCATTGTTAAAAAATAAATTGTTTACCAAAAAAAAAAAAAATCCAATCCCAAATAATGGCGTTTGTCGATCAAACTTCTTAATTGGTGGTCCGCCGGGATATCAAATTTATTATTACTAGTTAACTAGAGAAAGACGTGAGTAAGTGTTTATCATAAGGATGGTGGTGGTTATCGTCACTCTAGTTGATATTAAATTTATATTTAAAAAATTTATAATGACACAGCTAATAATGAGGTAAGTATTAAATTAGCCCATATCAATATTCATGTCTGTTTTAAAAAATTAATTGATATACTTGTGAGAAATGGACATTGTACTTATTAACTGCAAGATAAATATTGAAGAAATTTGGAATAACGCAATGAATCGTTTAAAAATTAATAATATTGAAGTGCAATCTATGGAAGCAAGAATAATTGGCCTTACTGAATCTGTAGATTGGAAACTTATACTTAAAACTCCTGATCATTATAATTTAATTAAAAAAACTAGACCAAATTTTTTAAAGGAAGTATTTCTAATGAAGTCTTGAAAATAATAAAAGATCCTCTTAATCAATTGGTAAGCCATTCATATATATATGGTATTTGCAATCTTTCTGATTTTTTACAAAAAGATTCTGTGTATTTTCAGTATGTTTTTATTACAAACTTTTTTATCATGCTGATTACTGATATTTTTTTTTGTTAATCTAGCAATTAATTGAAGATTTGATGACATGGAAAGTGAAGCTTGATCAAGTCAAAAATGATACAGATGCTATTTTGGCCAGTAAAATTACTAATTTTTTGTAAGTTTAATATTAATATCAAGCAAGCATGACAGGAAATTTCATATGTAACCAAAATTATTAATTTATTATTTATTGCAGTATTAAAACTTTTAAGAAGGATATTAATATTGTCATGACTTCTAACAGAGAAAGGGATATGATTATTAATGTTTTTTGCTCCAATATTTAAAAAAATATTTGAAAGCTATGACCTTGGAAAATTTAATTTATTCTGAAGTTGGTATAAATAAAAATTTGACAGATACAAATAGTGACTACAACCAGCTAAAAATTGCTCTAAAGGACTGTATGGATGCATTTATTGATAAAATGAACGTTTCTAAAAGATCTCTTACCAAGTTAATGACATTAGGGATTCAAATATCAGGTAATAAAAAAAGTTATTAGATGAGTTGTTATTGGCATTAAAAAGAAACTAATGTTTTCATTTCAATACTTTAATAGATTCGACATGGAATACAGTGAACCCTCCATAAATACACCCTCTGTAAACGCATGCTATGTCTCATTCCCAACCTCAGGAATTAGATATAAAATGCACACCCTCCATACTCTGCACTGCATGGTCTTCCCCCATCCTTGTTCATATAAAACCACCCTCTGATTCTTCTCTTTTGTATTTTATAGAAAATATGTTGGCTCTTAGAGTTAGTTTTTATTAATGGTATAAATCTTGGCATTTGAAATGAACTTTATTATTAATATTAATTGGTTCATTGTATATCACTAGCATACAATGCCTCATGTTTCAAATAATTTAAAAAAAATAATGAAGGAAAAAGAAGTCCAAAACACCATCACCACCTCTATCATGTTAAAACTACTGTCTCTGACTTAAAAGATGAAGATTTTGCCAAAGCTGCTGATGAATGCAGAAACAATATTTCAAAGAATAAAGAAAATTATGATGATAAATCTATTTGATGATGAATAGCAGGCATAACTTTTTAGTTTTATAATTGTTATGATTTTTGCTTTTTGTTGGGTAATAACAACACACTTTCATCCTACTTTTTTTTTTTTCTAACATTTCTTTCTTGGTAAATTTCTTAGACAAGCTTCAAGTGTCTGAGTACCATTTTATTTTGAAAATATAACAAGCAATTTTTTCACCTTGTTCTCTCTTCTAATGGTGCTGTAATTATTTGGTTTCATGGTAGACCTAATGTAAATTAACTTCACATTAACTATTTTTATATAGAGGTAATTCTATACATCACCTAATATTAAGAGGATAACAAATGGAAGATTTTAATAATCACATTACTAAATTTTGATCCCTGAAATTCTTTGTAACACTAATGTTCACTTTGTCTTGTTTCATTGCAGTATGCCCCATTTATTTATTTCATATAACTAACTTTATTTAGTAGAACTTAGTGTACTTAAAACACAAAAATTGCAAAAATCAAATGGCATTTGATTATTACAAAATCATCAAATAGTTTTAACTCGCCAATATAAAAATTTGAAGTAAATGAAATGAAGTTTCACAAGATAAACCATGATCGACTTGAAAATATTACTAATTTAGAAAAGCAAGGCAATGAAGAAATTCAAAATAATGGAGAATTTTCTGGAGATGAATTTTTGATTTCAATGTTTTTTTTGAAGCACAAGTATTTGTAAGGTGATTACATTTTAGCGAATGATTAATTGATTTCCATCATCAAACAAATTTTTTTAAAAAAGGATTAGCAATAAAACCAAAAATGATAGATTTACCATATGCATGACAAAAAGGGTTAATAACCCTTTTAATTTTTAAGTCGGCCATCACCACAAATAATAACGCTTAAAATAACTTGATTGCAAATATTCAATTTTTTGTTATTGATTTATCCACCAATCTATTCTGATTAAATAAAGAACAAGATTTGTCAATTGTACATTTATTTATTTATTAAAATTTGCCACTACTGCTTACTGCATGATTATGATGTAATGTTCCAAATATTTGAAATTTTACCCCTTTACCCAGCCGTTGAAATTCAAATTTTCCAAGGAGATAAAATTTTATTTTACCCAAAAAAATATAATTTAAAGGAAATACTATTTCCAGCCCTGATGAGGAATTGGATATAACAAAAAGCAAAAATGATGTCATTTGGGGCACTTCCCTTTAAGAAGATTTGATAGAATGCTAGACAAGCTTCAAAACAGGAAGAATTATCCTCTAGCCTCTGCAAAAGAAACAATCAGGAAATTGGAGGATGTATGGTTTTTTGAGGGTGGCGTCACGCTGAGAACAATTCTATTTGCTAAGTACAATATAACGTTATGATTTGACCATTATCCTTGTAGTAGATGAAATGCAAAATGGCTAGGAGAAATCCTGACGATGGGACTGGATAAAAATTTACCTTTCTAATTGCAGTCCAAATTTGAAATTTTGTAAATACTGTACGATCAAAAATATTCTAGAAAAAAATCAAATCGAGCTAAATTTCATGTAGATCTTTTTACTGAAAGAAAAATTGGATTAATGGTATATTTGAATTTTTCATATTTTTTTGGGGCACTATATTTAAATTTGGTGATTTATTATTAAACCCAAATGTACCATCCACCAAGATTATTTTCGAGGTCCTAATAAACTGTGATTTCAAAACTGCAGCAAACGGGTTTTCTTTGATCATGGAATATAAATATTTTGTAATAGAGTTGATTTTTTAAAAAAAGTGTCCATTAATTTATACACATGTTGGATGCACCAGAAGTTTTGCAAGTGTTTTGAAGGTGTTATGTGGAATGCATCATTTTGAAACTTTATTAAATTCACTTTATGATTGTGAATATTCATGCACTTGGCAAGTTAATTTAATCACATATTATATTTTATTATTTTATTATTCACTGATAAGTTATCTATCTATTTGTTAGCTGAAATGGGAAGAAAAATTCATCTTTTTTACTATATATAAAAATATCGAACGAACAATAAAAAAAAATTTGTAATACAAAGATCAAGTGGTCCAAATCACATGACCTAGAGAAAATTAAATGTGATGGCGATACAATATATATTTTTTTTTATAATATTAATATTATATAAAATATTGGTGAAAAATGGGAAAACAAAGTATAGAAAATAATTTATTATAATGTTTGATATATACATACATATACATACACACACACACATACATACATATTTATATATTTATATTTATTTTATTTTCAGGAAAAAATAAAATGCAAATAGATAGATCAGATAAACCAGATACAGCAATAAAACTATCAGACAATATGCAAATAGAAGAAATTTTTTTAAATCAAGAAGAGACTAAAGAGGTTAAAGGGGGGAAAAATGGTAAGAAGTAAGATTTGGGTTAAAATATCAAGAAGTTGTATTTATTTTATTAAAATTTTACAAAACAATCAACATCTTTATCGTAAAGAACAAATAACATCGAACATAAGACAAGGGAATTACAACAGTAGATTATTATTACACAAAGTTAAAAAGACAAAAATTAAAAACTTGTCATTTAAGGCAAAAAAACGTCAAGAAAAAGGAGTGGAAAGAGCTTTGGTCAACATGGGAAAAAGTGAAACAAAAATAAACAAAAGTAAAAGAAAATTAATAAAGAAAAAGAAAGTAAAAACCATTTGGCAATGATTATTATTATTAAATGAGAGGAAAGAACAAAATAAAAATAATATTTTTATTTTTTTTTAAATCTTTTTTAAATCTTAAATAAATTTTCTTTTATCTTAAAATTCCATCAAACTGTCCATTTTGCCTTTCCAATCTTTTATTTTCCCAATCATCTAAATCTTTCTCTGCAAGCAAATTCTAAAATAAAATTGTTAAATCTGATTAGTAATAGTAATAATACTTGATAACGTTAACGCTAGTAATAAAGAGTGAAATTGAATAATTTTATACTGAACCCAATATTCCTCTTGTAAATTAAATCTCTTTTTATTATTATTTATTTGAAGTAATTCTTCTTTTTCCAACTTTTTTTTAAAAAACCCAAAATATTCAATTTAATTAGTGATGATGATGATAATAATGATGGATGATTATTATTATTATTATTTGTCATCATCCTCTTTACATGAATTGCTAATACCTTTTTAGTTTTCATTTTTTGAATATCATATCTGGTTTGTGTTAAATAGCTTAATCCATATGAACCAATTGTAATTGATAAAATTAATGGTAATCCGATAAATAAGAAATGGTTTCGATTTATCAAAGAAGCAACTTTGGATCGATTCAATGGTTTATTTCGAAACGTTGACATTTTTAGAAAAAAATTTTGTTATTTATTTAATTTATTTATTTATACGGGCCCCATCCGATCACTTAATTTGGCGCATATCATGTGAGTTTGAACAATGGAAAAATTTACGTTTCGGGATTTTGATTTTTAAACCTTAATACATTGTGTGTTCAATAATTCGTTTCACATATTAATATTAATATTAATATATTTATTTTGTAGCTTCAAAAAAAAACTACATATATTTATTATCTTTTGAATTTTGATTTATTTTATCATACAAGTTTCTTTCAAACCGAAAGTTACGTTTCCATCGATTGTTAATCAAATATGCCTTAGGAGCATCACACAACATGAATGAGATACAAATCTTGGCAGCTTTACAAATTTGTTAATAAATAAATAAATTAAATTTTATTCAAGATAATCAGGGAAAAACATTAAATTAATAATTACTTGTTAGCTCTGCTAAGAATACTAATACGTAATTGACTATGTAAATAAATAAATGTTCATAATCTTCAATAATGCACAGCAAATGTAGCATTTAAAAAAAAAGTGACGTTGTAATTGTCAATGTGCAGAATCGAAAAAGGTTAACACCAATGCTAGTACTAGTACTAGTACCGATACTGCATTTAATTTTAAATGAAGTTTTTTTATTCAATTTGCAAGTAACAACCTTGTTTAAAGTTAAATTTAAAACTGGAGTTTGTTACCTTTATTTGTAATTTATTATAAATATTAAAAAGGCGGGCGGCATTGTTGACTTATTTGTCTATTATTAGTAATGCAATATTTTAATAATGCACGTAAATATTTACTATTATGATTCTTTTTTTTTTTGTATTTTTTTTGTGATTATATAAAAAACTCGTTTTTTTTTTTATGACAAAAAAAAACTCATTTAGTTTTTTCTTTCTTCCTTCAGAAAAAATAACTTTTTTTGAAATAATGAAATATAATAGTAATAATAATAAATAATTAACATAGAATATATATACTTTATATGTATACGCATATATTTATACATATTGCCATATATATTACCCGTATATATATATATAAATAGAAGGAATATTTTTTTGTAATTCTTTTTCTTACATTTCTTCCTTCATTATATTTATTTTTACCTAATTCAGAATATTTAAATTATGGGCAATAACGTTAGTGATAATCGGTTTAATAGCTTTAATAATAAACACAATAAAAAATTTAGATTTAGAAAATTTACAAATGTACCTTCATTAAACTCAAAAAGTTCAAAGAATTCTCGACACTCATCGAAAAAGTCAGACGAAATTAATGTTTATATTGATGGTAGAAGGTATCTCGAAAATTCAAAATACTCTTTACCAAACGATGACGAGGAGGCTGATAGATTACACATGCAACATTACGTTACGAGATTTATATGGCAAAAAAATTTTTGTTCTCCAGTAAAAAATTTATTAAATTATGGAAATGCGCAAGTTTTAGATGTCGGGTAAATTATTTATTTATTTATTTTAATAAAATTTTTTGATTGTATTTAATAATAATAATAATAATAATAATAATAATAATAATAATTAGATGTGGTAGCGGGACATGGGTTCTTGAGATGGCTTCTGAATTTCCACAATCACAATTTACAGGAATAGACATTTCGCCAATGTATCCATCACAAGTTAAACCTGGCAATGTAGAATTTTTACATGTCGATGTTTTAAAAGGTTTACCTTTCAATGACAATACGTTTGACTTTGTGGTTATAAGAAATATGATAACTGCGTTTTCATCAAGTGATTGGAAATTTTGTATACAAGAATTAATCAGGGTCACTAAACCAGGTGGATATATCGAGGTAGATATAGATAATATAAATAAACAAACAAATAATAAATAATGGCTATAATAATTATTATATATCGATTGTATTTATTTACAAAATATTTTTATATTTTCCTTAAGAGTTCCGAATTTGAAATTCCTGCGTTGAATAGAGGACCTGTTTCAAAAAGAATGTCAGATGCATGTAAGTAAAATGCAGAGGTACATCGAATGGAATTAATTATAATGAATCAGCTGAATTAATTAATTATTCTCTATCCATATTATTCAAAGGGATTGCAATAATGAAAACTAAAGATATTGATATAACATATTCGAATAAGCTCGAAGAACTTTTTGCATCATATGAAAGTTTAACAAACATTAGGCATAAAATGAGGCTACTTCCTATAGGTAAATGGGGTGAAAGAGTCGGTGAAATTATGTCGGAAGATTTGATATTACTCTCGAAAGCTTTAGGGCCTGTTCTAATACCTGCTTGGGGTATAGGGATTGATCAATATAATGAATTTATCGAAGTTTTACCGGACGAATTGACCGAGTACAAAACTTTTACAAATATTCATGTTATTTATTCCCAAAAACTTAATGTAATATAACAAGATTTTTATAATTATATATGTATTTATTATTATTATGTATTATTTATTATGTATTTTTATTATTTTGGCATCAATTTATTTTAAAAGCTACTTACGCTTCCACGATAATTATCACTAACGTCTAATTGACGTAACATGTAAAAAGGAGATTATTTATTATTTTTATTACGTATTTAGATTTTTTTAGAACAAATAAAAATAGAAATCGTGAAACGTATTCTAACTGTACAACTCATTCACATACCACATGATGATCATTTTGGAGATGTTACGCCAATTATTATACAGTTCAAAATTTTATTAACCAGATCGGGACCAATGCATCAAGTAAAAACATGTTTAAAGTTGAATTTTGTGGTTAAAAATCGTGGATTATGTCATTAAACAAGTTAAAAATATCTTTGAATTATATATGTGGGCATAGAAAGGGTGTCAACGTCAAAAATCATAATTTTGTGTTGATATCACATATATACGTAACTTGTCACAAGAAATAATTTTAATTTGGAAACTATTAAAAAATAGTAAAATTGAGATATTTTCCATTAAAGGTTTAAATAGAAATGCAGATCTTTTTTCAATTTTCTCAAACATCGTGATTTTGACGTTGATCCCCATGCCCCATATATGGTTAAAATTGATCAAGTATAGACAACAGAACGTAAAAAGAGCGGCGGAGTACTTTTTTAAAAACCCCCTTCACGAACTAATTTGGAGCATGCTGCAACAAAACCAGACAAAGAGAACACTTCAGGGTTCAAGATTTATGGAACACTTGAAAATACGAGTTTTCATCATAATTAAAGATGAAATAAATAAACTTATTTATTTATATAATCTATTAATTAGAACATTTTCTTCTTTTCTCCAACTAAAAAAATATAAAATAAATTTATTAAAAAAAAAAAATCATAATTTTCCATACACAATAATCAAAGCTTAACTTACCTTTACTTGTTGATGCTTTATTTGATGATCATCATTGTCGTCATCATCATAAATTCTGTTTTTCTGTATTATTATTGTGTGGTTGTTGATGATCATTTAAATTCGTTCTATGCAGCCTCCAATACATCCAAGTCTTTTAACCAAAGATCTTTGGCTGTCATATTTGTGATTTTTGTTAATTTTTCTTTTTCATATTTACTGATGGTCTGAGTCAATGTTGGCAAGTGTATGGTCTATTGGTGATCCATTAATGTAACATTTTAGCCATATTTAGTAATTTATTAATGGTAATGGACCAGTCCAAAGTCCATCAGCTCTCAATGTACCTGTCAAATTTCTAACCCTGGTATGAGTATAACATTAATTATGTATATGCATTATTAAACAAATCACCAATTAACTAATTACCCCATCATCATTAGACAACCATATTTCTAATAAATAGTTGTATCCTTCAAAATCATTATTATCATCATCTTTATTATGGATTTTATCAAAATTGTATGATTCATGGAAATAAGTCTGATTTTATTATCCATCATCTTCATTTTTTGTTCTGTTTCTCTAATTAAATTTGACTTATCATACATAAATAAATAGGTGAATCAGTGAATTAGTACACATGTATGAAAATAGATTAATCAACACACACATACATTAATATATGGTGCATGTTTGCAACAAAACCAGACAAAATGAACATTGGCATTACCAAGGATTTCAGGGCTCAAAATTTAGTCATTATCACAGTTGTAATGTGATTATAATTTGGCAGTTTTATAATGTCCCATTTGTTATCTTTCCTTTTTCTTAAATGATATATAGAATTACCTCTATATAAAAATAGTTAATATAAAACTCATTTATATCAGATCTACCATGGAACCCAATAATTATAGCACCATTAGAAGTATTCTGAAGAAAGAACAAGGGGAGAAAATTGCTCCTTACATTTTAAAATTAGCAGATACCAAATCTTTGCAAACATATTTAGACAAAGAAAGGATTACCTATAAGTTTATCAAGAAGAAAGAAAAATAATAAATGTTTGAAAAAGAAAGCATCATGATGATGCATTATTACCTAATAAAAAGCAGGAATCCTTAGAAGGAAAATAATCTTATTATTACAATATTGGTTTATTTTTTTTTTTACTGACAAAGAAAATTCTCCTTTATGCAAACGTAATTAACAATCATCAAATTGTATTGTTTATCAATAAAAAAATGTTTTTGTTTGAACAAATTTTACATTTGAGGATATGTTTATAAATCTTTGTTTTTCTCTCATTGAACAAATAATAAATATTTTCATCCATAATAACATTTTTTAAAAAAATGCTTACATTCAATGGTGAATTTTTTTACAAGTCATTAATTGGAGTTTTCCTTGGTTTCTTATTTCACTATAAAACTTGCAAAAATCGATTTTATATTATAAATCAAAAAATTGATCAAATAATCAATGAATTATTTGGTGAGAAAAAAGTTGTTGCTTCTATTGTTAAAAATTTCTATCAATGAAAAACAAACCCTAGAAGCAAAATGATAGAAGCAATTCAACAGTGGATTGATATGAATATTAACAATGATATTATCAATAATAATAATAGTAGTAGTAATAGTGAAAGTTAGATTTTTGTCAGAGTGCCCAAAGAATAGGTAATGACTTTGGGTCCAAGTATTTTCTTCCCATGCAAGTCTGACAATTTTTTAACTTATATTTTATGTATTTTTCTATTATTAGAATAAAAATATAATTTTCTTTTTTTTAATCATTGCCTGTAAAAATAAATTCCAAGCCATGTGCCCACTAATTTATCATTGGTCAAAATTATGCATGAGAAACAATTAATTGTATCTAAATCAATAAAAAAAATTTTTTTAAAAATTAATCTTAAAAAATGGTAACATACGAAGAAATTAAAGAACAATTAAACATTGCAGTTAAAAACCATGAAGAGGTGAAAAAGGAGTTGAAGGAGTTCGAAGAAGAAGAAGATGATGGAGTATGGCTGAAAGTGTTGAGGAGAAAGGTGAGAAGTGACAACCTTAATGAAGAGGACAAGGAGGAGAAGAAGAGACTGGAAAAATAAGAAGAGAGGTTGAAGAAGAACGTAGACAACAGGTTGAAGCAGGTGGAGGAGTTGCAAAAAGTGTTGGCAGGATTTGATAAAAAAGGTAATGAACAAATTGCATAAAAAAAAAATTTTTTTTGTTCATTCTATTTCATTTATTTATTTATTCGTTTAAGAGAACATTTTATTTGGTATACTGTTTATGATTTTAACTTCTTTTCATATTAGTAGGTGTTAGTGAGGGTCCCAACTGGAAAAACTCTGAATCAATTTATGCTTGGATAAAGCATTTTAAACAAAATCCTGATGTTCAACCATCCAAGGTATTATAATGTCTATGTTCCAATAATTGCTTAACCTGGGTTAAATACTGATTAACATTGTTACTTTTAGCTTGTGGAGTCCTTTTATTCTCTTTTTCCTTTAAAAGGTCAAGAAGATACACTACAAACTTTGTGTAATGGTTCTGGCAGTAGGAATGGTATATATCAAAGATTTTCAAAGAGAAAAATAAGAGACCATTCACTTCATCCTATTCCTGTCCTAGTTGGTGGACCTGGAACTGGTAAAAGCTGGATCCTCCAAGAACTTCCTGCATTACCACATAATCATGTTCAACAATATTCATATGATAATGAACTGAAGAATGCAATTTGTGAAAAAAAAATGTTTGCCATTAATGTCACATTTGGTAATGGTAGTAATGTTGACATTAGAGATACTAAAATTGGAGGTCAAGCATCAGTTGGGTTATGTATACTTTATGAGCATTTCATCTATGGAAGTGATATTGATTTTCACAAATTCCATGACCAATGTTGTCAATATGCAAATGTAGAGAATTTTACAATTCATCAGGCATTTGAAGTAATTTTTAAGGATATCCACACTGACATCAAAATTGTGATTCTTGGCATTGATGAATTGAATGCATTACATCAAGCAGATCAAAGTTCTGAGAAGATTTTAGTTTGTTCAATTGTAAGAGCCATTGGTGGATTAAGTTTTAGCAGCATGAAAAGATTCTATTGTCTGGAACAATACAAGGGCCTCTTGAAGCTTTTGTCAGAGATTCCCACGTATCTTTTTTTATGTTTACCACTCCATCTTCTTAGTAATGATGAAATGTTTGACATTGGTGTAAAGATTGCTGAATTTGAACCACTTATGGCAAAATACATATCAAATAACACCTTTTCATGTTGCATTAGTGACATTGGTGGTCAGGTTTGAGCTCTTGAAATTTTTTATGAAAAATTTTTGAATAAATTAAGGCAACCATCTTATGTAGATTATGTAGATTTTGTAGAGGTATTTCATGAGGTTAAATCAGAACTCTTATCACGATATCCACTTCAGGATTTTGCAGTAGATGCAACCCCAATGATGGCATGTGCTATTCTTAATATTCCAGTAGAAAGTACTGATGCAATTAACATTGGAAAATCCCAAATAACTTATCTTGATCTTGCATCATTGGGTATTTTGAATTTGGAACAAACTACTGGAAACAAATTTTTTATATATGCATGACATATCTGTGGATATGTATCACCTGAATGCGAATTTGACCTTAATTCGCTGATCAACGACCCCGAAAATCCGGAGTAATATTATTTATATTATTTTATATTATTTATTTGTATTTTATTTCTTATCTTTAGCTATCTATTATTTATTTTTAGTCATTTATTTTATCTATTATTTATTTTTAATTTTATAATATTTTAATTTTATTTGTATTAATTCTCCGAATGATTTAATTAATTATATGAGCTCGTGTTACATTCCGCAGACTTAATTAATTCGTAATACGTTAGCATTAGACCTTTATTTAGTAGAAATTAATGAAAATTATCCCAGATTGGGAGAAACATCCCAGACTGGGACACTAATAATTCAACGTGTATATAAGGAATGAGGATTTGCTGTAATCAAAGAATAACTTTGTAACAAATTAACTTAATAATAAGTTAATAATTAGTTTCAACTAAATACAAAATTAAATAAATCACTTTTATCAAATCACTAAAACAAAATTGTCTGCTAATAAATCTAATTCATTAGTATTAGCCTATTCATTCTGATCCACATAAACTAATAAAAATTTGTTATCATCAATTAAATCATGCTCTCCCAAAATTAATCGATGACATATGGATATTGACATCATTCAGCAGTACATGTAGATTCTGGAAAGTTATAATACAACAGAATTCACATGTCTTCTGGGAAACTTTTGAAGAATTTAATGCACAGTTTTGGGCTCTGCATCTCTGCCTTCTTTCAGCATTGAACAAAAAAATTACATTAAAAGAACTGTTTGGAGGTGCAATTGGTGTTGGTGATGTTTCAGAAACTGTAATTGACCTTGTTTATCAATCTACAGTGGACATGCAGTCACTGGATTACAGATACCCCCATTCCAAGGATGCTAATTTGCATGAAAATTTGGGGATTGTATATTGGAATGGTGATGGGGCAGAATGGGATGTATTCTTCTGCTTAAAATCTTGGATTATTATTACTAAGCTAAATCTTCAGATCCTACAGCAAAACAACCTCAAACTATAAATAGAAAGATGTTGGATGAAGAGTATGATAAATATTTAGAAGGGATAAAAAAAATCTACAATTTGATTGGGAAAAATTCTTCCATTACAAATTCAGCCTTGCTTTTATCTACAAATGGTAGAAGTACATCAAATCTTTTATCACAACCATTAGAGCATAATAACTATTTTGTGGTGGATTGTAAGAATTTCAGAGATTTTTATGGATACACATTTGCTAGTTGAGCTGAATTTGCTGCAGGTATTATTCATTCTTACAAGTTTTTTTTAGAAACATTAGTCATACTGAAGCAATTAAGAACTTTATCAACTGTTTTTTTTGAACAGCTAATGATTAAATAGATATTAACAGTGCCTAAGAATTTGAAACTAGAATGATCTGGGGTATAGGACCAGAAATTGCAAAAGAAAAGAAAAGAGAGACCATTTGATGATATAGAAGTAATTAAAAGTAACAAAGTTGAAAAAAAGTAATTATTTGTTATTCTGCCAGTTTTCTTTTTTTTCTTGATTCTTTACTAGAATTCTCTAATAATTTTTTGAAAACTCTTTCTTCTTGGTAAATTTCATAAGTAATCCTTTCTTTTTTTAGATAAGTTTCTAGTGTCTGAGTATCATCTATTTTGAAAATGTGAGGAGCAATTTTCTCCCCTTGTTCTTTCTTCTAATGGTGCTATAATTAACTTCATATTAACTATTTTTGTCTAGATGAATATTGTGATCACATTTCATTGATAACACAATTGTGATGTTAAAAACACTATTGATCCCTGAAATTCTTGGTAATACAAATGTTCGCTTTGTCTGGTTTTGTTGCAGCATGCCCCATATATACATTGATATATAGTAAAAAAAAAATCCAACAAAATCATAACCTACCCTTCTTTTTTCATACAAATTTAATCTTATTTCATAAAATACATTTATTATATATCCTTTGGTGAACTATATTTTGTTAATTTATTGAAGGATTCTTTTCATTTGACGTAAGTGGTCGGCAAAATTCGAAATTAAATTAATATAATAAATACCTTTTTAGTTTAAATTGATGAATATAAAAAGTGCTGAAAATCCGTTTATTGTTATTATTATTTTGGACGAAAACTATTTTATCATCCCATCATAATGAGAATAGTTAAATGAAATTCCCTCATCACAAGGAAGACGTAATGTTGATTTTAATGATACACAACTTACTCAATATAGCAACAATTATTGTTATTCGAATCAGCACCTTTGGATAACGAATGAGTACACGTGCAATGTAGATCTTATTTGTGGTTCAAAAGTTAAAATATTGATTATATTTCTTTTACCAGAAAGTTGAAAGCGACTTTAATAGAACAGAAATTAAAAGACGTTGTCTGAAATAAATGAAATTTAGAGAAGTTCATTCACTACTAATAAAAGTTAAAGGTTATTTTTGCTCAGAAATAAGCAATAATGATAGAACGTTTGTGCAAAGTTAACAAACATTTAAAGTGTCACTTTTTCGATTTTACTATACCGTAGTTGGTTCTAAAAACATAATAATAACAATAATATAATAACAAATAATTCGCGAATCCGTAAATCCATAAATAATAGTAATATTAATATTAATTATTATGTAATTACGTAAATATAATCAGCTATCTCGCAGATGCAAAAATGAAATATCAAATTTTCCTTGCCTTTCGAAACTCAGAATTAGTTCAGAAATCGGTTTTTAGTTAGTTAAATCGAAACTGTTCGGAACTAGCTTAGAAAAATAGCCAGCGAACTTAGAAAGGCAACTATACTATATACATCAAGGGCACCAAGACATTGTAGGAAATTTGAATTAAATTCTTACAGCCACTTACTATTTCTTGTCAAGCTGACGTCAACCAATAACCCGCGACTTGGTAATACCTGGCCAGATCAACAATATCTATGATATCTAATGAATTCTGTGTGACCCTAAACTCAGTCCTTTAAAATCCAAACCATCTTAAACTAATTTGGTTTAGGCTTCCCCTAAACTTGAGTTTCACGGCTAAATTTTAAATCGTAACAATAATATCCTCGGGTCATACACAGAATAAATTTTGTTCAACTTTTTTTGTAATATGGGTCGAAGAAAGCATTTTATGAACAGAATGAATGAGAATCGGAAGGATCCTTTAGTAATAAATCCAAATTTAGAAGCTTTAGCTGATATTGATGATACAGAAAACAATATAAATGACGATAATAATAATGATATAAGTGACAATAGTAATAATAATAATAATATAAATGACAATAGTAATAATAATAGTAATAGCAGTAATAGCAGTAATAATAGTAATAGTAGTAATAATAGTAATAGTAGTAATAACATTGATAGCAACAGCAACAGCGGAAATAATAATGAAGAAGGGCTTAGCCCCGAGTTTGTAGGAAATTTCTTGGACAATCTTACAAAAATTTATAAACATGGTAAAACATTTTTGACTTTGAGTGAAGAAAAGGAAAATTTATCAAAGGAAATCTTGCAAATCAGAAACGAATATAATAGTATAATTAAAGAGAAGGATAAAACAATTTCTGAAAATAAAAGAATTATAAAAGAGCTTGCTGTTAGTAATTTACAACTATCAACCAAAAATAGTGATTTGCTTTCAAATATTAATAACACCACTCGTAATTTAGATGAAGTCAAAGAGGAACTACTAAAACAAAATGCTAAAAATGAGGAATTAACTGAAACCAATCTTAATTATCTAGATCAGTTAAATACAATAAAAAGCTTTTTTGCCAATCTTAATGGTCGTATTACTGAATTAGAATCACAAAATATAGCCAGTGCGAATAAAATAATATTGTTAAATCAACAAATTACGGATAAAAATCAGATTATAAAAAATTTAAAGTTATCATCATCATCATCAGCGTCACCATCATCAACAACAACAGTAACAAATCCATCACCAAACTATATATTTAAAGACCAGATATCAACCCAATTTTCACAAGATTTTTCTTTATTGCAAGATAAAATTTATAATTACATCACAAGTTTAAGAACTACAATAGCAGAAATTAATTATGACAATATAAATGACCTTTTAATAAAATATAATTTGTCTGGTGTCAAAAACATACAAAAAAATAAACCATTAATTAAAGCTATATTGCAAAGAACAGTTTTTGACAAATTGATTGAATTGTTGAAAGATCTTGGAAAAAATTGTTATTATTCAAAATATCAGAATTTACATAGAGACTCTTCACTTGAATATGATTTATATGTATCAATAAACGGATTATATAATAAAGCAAACGAATTAGTTAAAAATCGAAATCGTGATCAACTTTCTACCACCACCACTACCTCCAGTTTTGACTCCACATCGTTATCATCATCATCATCACAACTTTCTTCATTAACAAAAATACGTAAAGGAGTTTTTGATATATTGTATACAATAGGATACAATAATACTGACAACGGCAATAAAGAACACGAATTTATTACTTGTAATAAGCAACTACTTGATCAACATATAAGTCAATACAGAAAAATTATAAATCAACAAAAACAAAATGAAATTGACAAATTATCAGGTGAAATTATAAAATATTTCATAAAAGTATTTCATTTCACACCTTTGGAAGATTTGGATGATCTTGAACTTTGTTGGGTTCTTAATGAATCAAAAATTGATCCAGAATTTATGGAGGGTCAATGGGAGTATGATAAAGTCGATGATTATGTGGTAGAAATTTGTAGATTTCCCTTAATTAGAACTCCCAAGAAAATATATTCACTTGCAGAAGTATTTGTTGGCACACTTGATAATTCCAATACAAGAACTAAATCTGACATGTCACTTGAAATCATAAAATTGAGAAAGTAAGATAAATCTAAATCAAGCGAATGCTAAAGTCTTTGCTATACAAATATTATCTGTGAATAATAAATAATAATCATTTATTTACATAATCTTTATTAAGAAAAATCAATAATTGCAATAATTTTTAAAGCAATATAAAAATAAATGAGAAAATTTAACTTAAATTCCTTCTATGTAGTAGTTTGACAAGGATATTTTCTAATATTTAAAAAAATTACTACAAGCATTATTATTAAAAAATTATAGGATTCTAGGGTTTTTTAAATCTTTGTTGCTTTCTTTTAATTGCACTTTAGATGATTCTGTATATGGTACATTACTTGTTTTCTAAAAAAAAAATATATTAATCAATATTTGATCATATACATGCTATTTTTTAATGGGAATATCTGTTTCAACTCTCCGTTTGATGGATTTTTGATTTTCTGAAAATTGATATATATATATATATATATATATTGACATTAGAAAAAATATTTGAGCTGGGGTGGAGGTGACCAGGTTGTGATGTAAGTTTGAATTGTTTGAAGGATTAATGAAAAAAAAATTTTATATTTTAAATTTGAAGAGTTGGGTTGAAATTGCGAAAAAATGATTAATCTGTGCAAAACATACCAAATCCAAACTGTTTTGTGGCTTTTCTCTTGTTGATCCTTTTTGAAAAAAGTGCAAAGAATCCCACTTTGATGCCAGGGATCATTGTTGGCATTTGGCTGATAAAGATATAATTGTGTGATAATTTCAATCTACAGGGGAGGGGACCTTCCAAAATTATAAATTCAGTTAATATCAAGGAAGGAGAGAATTTAGGAAAATCGTTAAAACGAAAATTACTTTATGACTTTCCTCTTAACATCAGAGTGCAAATTCAATTTCAGAGTCCCCAATCCCACCCTGAATTGCAAATTCCTGCCTGAGCTTGAGTTGCAGTTTCTCACTGCCTTGATAAATCTAGATGTTGATGTACACCTAAAATCACAACTCTTTGATCAAGTTGCAACATCCAGAGTTGCAACTTGTTGGTTACATAGCCAGCCACTTTTCAGTTAGCATGCATGCAGCTTTCTCTGGTGTCATAAGGGAAAATCAGGTAGGATTCATGCAAGTGCATCCTTGACGATGATGCAAGCTTTTATAAATTCCAGGCACAAGCGCCTCCTGGAATTTAGTTGCATCACCATATCTTTAGGTCTTCAAGTCGGATTGGCCTTTTGGACATGAGGAATGTGAGAATGACTGTAAGATGTTCAAGTAGCGTGTGCGCCTTGACGTCTGCCAATTTACAATTATGAAAATGTCGCATAACGGATATTGTTTTATAACAGACTGAGAATTTATAATCAATTTATATGCACACATATAAATCATTACTGATTCTAAAGGACATTTTTCATAAGAATAAGCTAAACGACCTGTCATAGAGAGTGTGAACTGTATAAAATTACTTCTATATGAACTTATCATATGAAACTAATTTACATTTACATCAGATCCACTGTGGAACCCTGAAGTATTTTAAAAAGATAGCAAGGCGAGAAAATTGCACCTTATGTTTTCAAGGTAAATGATATCAAAACTATACAAGAATATTTAGATACCAAGAAGAATGAAAAATTATCATAAATAATAAAATGATAGTATTAACATGAAACCCTAAGTTAATTGTCAGCATTATCTGGTTTTGGACAAGTAATATCTTTGAATTCATCTCTGACAAATGAATGAATATTATTATAAAGGTATTCTTGACACTTTAGATCTAGAGGAGCAGGTTTCAATATTAGAAATGATAAGACTTTAATGTCTCTTTAATATCTTTGGAAAGTCCTGTTTTCATAGTTTGAATTCATGGAAAGGTTTTTGTTCAATTGTATATAAAGAAAAAAGTTTATCATGGGGGTGTCACAGACTAAAGAAATTTGTTCTCACTTTATCATTCTTGATCTTGGTATATTACGATCAAAATTTTGTAGCATGTAAACTTGAAATAGCAAGGAATTTATAATGAATATAAAAATGATTGTTAATTATACAACTAATACAACATCACTGCTATTTCCTTCCCACCACCACCACTTTAGGAGTAGATTAATTAACTCAAGACCAAACTTCAAACCAAACCATCAAAAACTTCAGATTAAAGCTATCTTTTCATCGTTTCTCTTTATATTTTCTAATTACACAGCGCACTCAATTTAATCCCAATGTAAAGGACTTCTCTAATCAGTTTGAATTAATCTAAAAAAAAAAAATTATTTATAAAAAATTGCATTATTCTTTACTTAATCTCCCAAAGTCATAATCGTCTCGAATAGAAGATTATATAACCTATTCACTTGATCCGTTAAGAACAAAACTAGACATTACTATACTATTCTTGACATTAGTGGTATTGATTGATGATGAGTAAAATTGAGATTGGAATAAAATCCATTTTCGTACATCGTTTATGCTATCACAAACTCAATTTCATAGCAAAGCAAACTATTATCCTTTGTATAGAAACCAATTTTACAGCGATTCGATCTGTTTTGAGGAAGGCAGTTAGAATTCCAAACAGAAGTCTATGATTAAATTTTGTGAGGTAATAAAAACGGGAATTGCATTCAGTCGCAATTCAATTTTTGTATGTCGCAATTAACTGAGGAGAAAATGGTTGGCAATAAAATTTTGAATTAAAGATGCATTGTCGACATTGAAAACAGCTAATAGTAATTCAATTAAACTTTGCATTTATTATATTAAGAGAAAAACTCCAGACACATTCCTACATGTATAACAATTTTTTTTAATAATAAACTATTAATAAATAAATAAAACTAATCCCGCATCCAAATTGAATGTAGCTAATACTAAATCTACTAATACATGAATCGTAATACTAATACATGAATTCATAATACTAAAAAAAAAAGAAAAATTACACCACGCCTAAAGAAACTTGTGTGGGTGGTTTCTTGAGAAGCGGACTAAATCAAGTAATAAAAAATAATAAAAAACAACAACTAATACTAAAGCTACTAACTACTACTAATAAGGTTTTTTTAATTCTAATAACTAATAATCCTATTACTAAAAAGCTAATATAAAAATCTGATTTAGTCTGCTTCGCCACCCAATTCCCCGTCGAGCCCGTGTCCATACCCTAGGTCTTCTGCCTTCCATGACAAATGAGTAAAAGAACTAATGAAAAATTAAAATGAGTTAATGATATTTACGATGAAGGATAATAAATATTTCAAAAATCCAAAATCATAATTTTATATATAATCAATCCGAAAATAAATATCGAATCAATTAGTTACCGACTATCAACAAACACCAAAAAAAATCCAAAATTGCCTCTCAACTTTTGTTTTCCTCCAACAAATATTATCCCTCCTCTGATGCCAAATAACGTGTGTTCGTAATAAAAAATGTTGCCCTAACTATAAAATTAATATTTGTCATGATGATTAATATGGTATTTGAATAATCAATAATCAATTATCGCTTAATAAGATGTAATTGATTATTTACCCAACACTTATTAAAGCCAGCATGAACTTGGACAAAGGAAAGTAAAAAGTTTGGGTATATATATATGGTGACGAATATAGGGTAGTAATAAAGCTAAACTAAGGCTAAAATAAAGCTAAAATAAAAATAAAATAAAGCTAAAATTAAAACTAAACTAAGGCTAAAATAAAGCTGAACTAAGTCTAAAATAAAGCTAAACTAAGTATAAAATAAAGCTAAATTAAGGCTAACTAAGGCTAAGATAAAGCTAAACTAAAACTAAATTATAACTAACTAAGGCTAAATTACGGTCAAATTAAGGCTAAATTAAGGCTAAATCAAAACTAAAATAATGCTAAACTAATGCTAAAAGCTAACTAAATCGAAGGAGTGTATAAAGGAGTTTGATGAAAACGAACCCGCCTAATATAATATTTAAATATATATCAATATCACGTGAGAAAATTATTATTTCTCCAAGAATTAAATATTTAGAATTACACGTACTTTTTACTTTCAAAAAACTTGCACAAACCAATCCACTATTTTTCCGATAGTATAACTCCACCTATTGTAATTATAGATATTTAATAAATGATAAAAATCATATACCCGTCCATATAATTAATTTATTGTTGTAATAAGACTCACTGCCGTGTGGAATAAAAATAAGCCAACATATTAAGTAAGTGTCTGACCCTATTTTGGTCAAGCCGAGCAACGTCTCGCACAAGGCTCCACATGAGCTGGCTTGTGAGCAAAATAACTTAGTGAGCTCACAGGCTTAATAAGTTATCTGGCTCACAAGCCAGCTCATGAGAAGCAATCCTGTTCAAGACAAAAGCGCATCAGGAGAGGAAGACGGAGGGATAAAAAATAACTTGGAGGAAGGTTGAGTCGAAAATGAACACACGAATAGCCTCATCGACAGTAGAGTTGGTTCATTTATTTCATTTGTCCTTTTATTAAAAGAAAACAATGATGAATATATATTTATCATGTTTAAATAAATTAAAGCGAGTTTATTTTTATGAATTTATTACATATTCCCAGAAATGGGTAATCTTATATTATTATTATTAAAATAAAATATTGCAGCTATATACAATAAAATAAATATTGTTGTAACTACAAATATAAATATAATAATAATAACAATAATATGGAAGGAAGGTCTTTGCCGTCGTCGAAGGATAGAATGGATGTTGCTGGGGAAGGATTTTTGTTGATTGTTGAAGAATGGAAATCCTTGCTTGCTGTTTACTTTCTTGAAGGGGAGGGGAGGGAAACCTAAGTTTATATATTTTATTTTCAATTGTTATTGTTATGATCTGTGAGTCTAACTTTGTGTTTATCGCGTTTAAGGAGAGATATGAGGAACACAAGAGAAATTGTGTTTTAGAGAAAATCTTTCCAAATTTGTTCATTGCGGCATGTACAAAAGTCTAAATGATGATCAATCAAATCTTAGCCTCATGGAAAATTGGAATATAAGTAATAGTCGC